ATATGGTCTTTAAGTGGAGGTCAGGGGTGGGAGATACTGGGAGGTCTAGTGCAGGGACAGGCCCATCTGCCTCAGGCCTCCCCCACTCCAAGATATCCCATGCTCGGCTTCTTACCCCAAGTGCTTCCTATGACAGCATGCTGGCCAGCTGAACAACTGTCTTCCATCGAGAAACAATGGGGAAGGAAAACACTGGGTGTGCCTGCCTTTCTTAATTCTGCTCCTACCCTTTCTCTTGCCAAGGTGGTCTGTCTTTCTGGGGTAAAAAAAGGACCAGTTCTCTAGCTTTCAGAACTTTCTCCCTATTAGCTCCAAAAGTTTAGCAGGATACAATATACATGCAGCAAAACAGGAGAGACAATGGATCCACTAGGACTTGCCTTTAAGTCACACAAACAGGTTTGCAAGGACCAGTGTCAGCTAAACTTTTGGAGCTGAATTCAAGGCAAAAAGCTGCAGAAAGATGTTCTTTGCTTGCTTGATTCCATCCCTTTACTGTTCAGCCTGGAATCAAGGTAAGGTTTTTAAAAGGGTTAGAAATTGGAGAGCAGAGGCAGAGAGTTTAGTTTTAGTACTTAGCTCTGAGGGATGGGGGTGGGGAGACAGCAAAAGTCCAACCCTTCGAGTTTTTTGTGTTTTCTTCATTGAAGAACTGTGACTTCCTCAAAGAGGGAGGGATTAAACAAGGAAAAGGTTTTGAAAAGTTTATCCTGAAGCTGCCGGTTTTGTATGCAGAGCTAATTGCCCAAAGTCTAGCAAAAGCCAGGAGACATTTGCAGCCTTGCAAAGGCTAGCTGATCAAAGCAGAAAGCTCCAAAAGCGGCTGCCATTTTCTGCAAGGAATTGTCAGGGTGCTGAAAATGGCAGCTGCTTCCAAGAGAAATGGGGAGCAGGCCCAAGCAGTGCAGGGTCTTTTTGGGATGGAAGGAAGAGAGGCGGGGTGGGTGGGTGCTGCAACTGTTGTAACTTTGAAACAGGGTCATATGTAGTTTTGGGGTATCTGTCATAACTTTGAACATTCATTAAGTGATCTGTGGTTTCTTGAGGACTATCAGTACAAGAAGGGTACTTTCATACTGGCATAGCAAAATTAAATGACCTTGTTTATTGACATACAATAAAGATTCTTATCAAGCCATGCCTTATTGAACAGATACCAAACTGAAGTTTAACAATTCTGCAGGCACACAACCCATAAATGTAAATCACAGAAATCATAATGAGTAACAATATGTTTACCAGAATGATTAGGAAAAACTGGCCAGAATATGTCCTTGTTGTTGCTTGACACAATGACTGAAAAAGCAATCTAGTGAAAAATACATTTCATCCACAGCAGGAAGATTTGTGATCACATACTTGACCTAAATATCTTGGGAACTTCTGCAAAGTTCAAGCCTGAAAATTTGATAGTAGAAGGAGAGGGACTTGAGTTACCCAGGGAAACAGTTCAGCATAGGAATGTACAACTGGCACAGTCACCCAATAAAGAAACAAAATACCTTGATGGTGAAGGAGCATAACAATTCATTTTTAAAAAAAAATCTCAAGAGCATGGGGAAGTCAAACAGTACAACACTGAACTGGTAGATGTATTCAGCAATTATAAATTAAAAGAAGAACAGTGGTATAATAACTACAAAAGTAGTAGCCTATTACACGTACTGAATTGTTTTCCTATATTTTGGCTGTTCTAGAGTGAGACCTCATGAGGTAACCAATTCTGATATTAAAATCATCAAAGGAGAAAGTCTCAATTTCAATCAGTATAAAGTATAACAAGATCTCACTTTGAGATTAATTCCTCTACCTGAACATAACTGGAAAAACATGAATACTACTAATAAGAAGAATCCATAAATGGAAGAACTGGTGTTAAAGGGATTAGAGAATACCACTATAGAGACTTTTCAAAATTAATTCAACCACATATGCGTTAATCCTATGATAGTAGCTATGCTTAGACATATGGTATGCATGGGGGGGGGGGGCTACTGAACTGTTGAAGATCCTATATTGGTCTCTCTGCAGGTACATAACCATAAGTGTAAATCTCAGAGAACATGATGAACACGATGTTTACCAGAGTGGGCAAGAGACTGTCTTTCATTGTACCTAGAGACATAAAAGTAAATTCTTTGGTCCTGTCTGGTAGAATGATAGAAAAAACGATCTAACAAAGAATATGCTCCAGCCACAGTAGGAAGATTTGTGATTGCACATTTGACCAAAAGAAGTGAAATCCGCTATGCATTTGCCAGTTTTATAATTCACAAATGATCACAATGGACAGCTAAGAATTATGATCAAGAAGCAAAGAAATTAAAGGCAATGGTAGGGCTACTTTAACCTAAAACGTCCATCAACCATTAATTGGGAAAGGAATTGGGAAGGTAGCAAGAGTTGTCTGCTTGCAAGGTACCAGCAATGTGAGATTGTAGGGGCATCTTGGGCTCAGATTCCCAAGGTGCATGACTGTTGTCTTGGCTAATGAGCAGTAAGATCCTTTCACTGAGAACCATTGAAGGTAAGTGGCTCCATTCCTTTCCCTTTACTCTGCTACAGAGGTGTGACCACTGTTTATTCTTCTTTTGCCACTTTCCCAGTTGGCAGTAGAGAATGAATTGTAATCAAGCTCATATGAACATGTAACTAACAAAAGAGTTTCATGGAAACAGTACCTTTAATCAAATAATGCTCTTCTGGAGGCAACAAACATTATTTTCTTCTGTGTGCAGTGATCAATTCAGGCAAAATGGAATACAACTCAGAAGATCCATTAATGTCCATGGGAGTTAAATGGATTCAGGGGAGTACTTTAAGATTTTGATTTGGAGGAGGCCAAGCAGATGATTAAATATTTTTGCTGGCTCCTAATGGCTTTGATTACAAGTCTGGAACATACATATAAATACATGTTTATTCAGACATTTTGGACTTAGTCAGTGACTGGCCCAAAGCCACATCTGAGTTTCTGTGGCTGAGAGTAGTCTAAAACCCCAATTTTCCTGCACCTTAATCACTACATTACATTGGTATTAGATTAGGAAAACAGCACTAGGAAATTATTATTCTTTCTCCCATCGTGTTTTCCTATCCACAAATATCACTCTTTTAGTTATTAAAAGCTATTTGGGAAAGAGATATATCCAGTGGTGGGATTCAGCCAGTTTGCACCACTTCGGCAGAGCCGGTAGCTAATTTTTTGTTGCCCAGGACCAGAACTGACTTCCGGAAACGGCATCCACACAGAGAACCGGTTGTTCACATATTTGAATCCCACCACCGGATATATCCTTCCCTCCCGGATATATCCTTCCCTCCTTCAGAAAAGAAGAAAGGTTACATGAATTTTGAATGGCAAATTATGCTATGAAAAAGGTTATGTATATCTTCCATCTCCAACTAACACACACCTAACTAAACAACTTGATTGCTGCAGGTTGTGAGATACCAGGAGAGCTGTTTGATTCAATTGTAAATGAATGAAGATTTTAAGGTGTCTGCAGTTTAATTAACCCAATAATTATATCAGTCGATTCAAAAGGCACCTTTAATATTATTAAATAACAACATCTATCCAGGTCCTTGGGAAGGACTTGATAGGTGGACCTAAATTCAAAATCTAGTCTAAACATCTGGCTGACTGTGCAACCAACCACAATATCTTAGTCTCTAGTGCCTCAAAGTTGGCACGGTTGTCGTTTCCTTATTGGCACGTCATGTTTGTGTCAGAAGCAACTAAGGCACTTCTGGGTTGAAAGGATTAGCTGATGACATCACGGTTGCCTAGAGGACACCCAGTTAGGAACTTTTTTCATGTCCCCATTAATGCACCCACCAAAGTGGTACCCATCTATTTACTTGTGATAACTTGTTCTCAAACTGTGAGATTGACAGGACCTGAAGTAAATGATGGGTGCTCACCCGGCCATTGCTATTAGTCAATCCAGCATCCTAACCATGTGAACCACTGCGCTCCTCTATTTTTGGCATTTAATACTACATCATAATGTAATTTGTTTTCTGTTTAGTATAATGTATTAGCATGTTCCAAAAGGAAACCATTGTTTATTTTTTATATATAAGCCACTACATTTATCAAGATCTTGGCTTGCTTAGGATCTTAAATTACGTCTAATTTCTTTTTGTGCCTGTCCATTTGGAGGCAGGGGAGAACGAACTGCCAGAAAAAAGACATAAAGTAAGAAGCGGCCAACCTATTCATAATTGTTTCAACACAATTCTGTGTTAATGTGAAGGGCAAGGCTAGCATCTTTAAACTAAAATAACATATTCTAAGGACAAAAGAAAAATTTATTGACAATAAAATTGTATCCAATGTAGAAAAACATTGGGGTAAAATACTGCATGGAAGTTTCCACTGCAGAACACAAAAGTAAAACCCCCGAACACAATTAGGAAATTTATAATTAACATCCCTCTGCTAAGGAAACTCCAGTTTATTAAGCTGTTTCTGTCAAGGTCAGTAGAAAGGCTTTAGGAACAAAAAAAATGCAGTATCAAATATAGAAACCAAAAAATAAAGTGAATTAGTTTTACAAAAGTGCAAAATATATAATCATTTCTACTTTAGCTCAAGAGAGGAAGAACAATAAAATAATCATAAAAAAGAGAAACCAGCTATTGCAAAATAAGTGGGTTTATTTGAAATATTGGATTAAAAAAGAGGGAAATAACTTAAATGCTGGTCTCTTTCTAAGAAAGAAATCTGATGAGGCTGAACTTTATTGTAGAAAAGAAGAAGGGGGGAGCTTGTTCAATGTTTTAATGTTTCCTCAGAAACAAAAAAAACCCTAATACGAAATGAAATAAAGAGTGCTGTCTGGAACTTAGTGTAGTAAAAATAACTTATTAGTTTTGTAGCTTGTTGTCTTGGTATTTCTCACATGACTATAAAGCAAATGGCTCTGTTTATGAAAGTTAAATACAATGGTTAATTAAAGCAAGTGATACTAAGATGTTTTCAAATTGAATACCTGCACCAATCATCGTTATAGGAGATTCAATGTATATCCATTCATCTGTGTATATGCCCGAGTGAACAAAGATAAGTCCATCAAAGTGAGCTTCTTGTACACCACCTAATGCATCTTCAATGGTGTCATAATACTAAAAGAAAACAAAGGAACTGCTTAGAGATAAATAGCTATTGAAAAAGTATACTAGTAATCAATTAGGGTAATTTTAAGATGTACCAGCATATTTTCTCTTCCTTTGTATCTTGCTGGGTTGCTGTAGAAATATTCAGCAAATCCTGGCTTTACATGTGCTCCTTTATACTAAAATTTGAGAAAAAAATGTTAAGTTATGGTAAACCGTATTTTTTGAGCTACACCAGAGAAAGAGAGAAATAATAACACACGTGTTAAATATTGCATTGCAAAACACCTGGAAGTAATTCACATCATTTCAATACATTATTAATTGTGCTCAGTAGATGGTTCTAAATTTCAGGCTTCTTTAATTCAAGAACAGATATGAAAATAATTTGGTGGGAGTTAGGAAACAGACCTAATTAGAATCTTGTTGAGGTGCTTCCAACTTTAAAAGGCAACACTGGTCATAGGACTCCCAGAAGAATGTGCCCTTGGTCTGAAATACAGTGAACTTCATTCTTTAAAACTTACTGGAATTTGCCATAAAGCTGGCTCAATAATGTATGAAGAATGCAAAATAATATTATGCATTTTGCTATTATACACTGCCTAAGCCATGTTACTGCTTGCTTTACATACACACACAAATATATTAAAATACACTGGCACTGCCGTAAGCCAGCAAAAATGAGGAAGACTATGAATAAAAGAGACTATGAATAAAATGATTTCCTAAGAATTCTCAACCTGTTGAATTAGTCATATTAATTACTATTCTTGATTTACCTTTTCTTGATTTCACAAATTATGTGACAATAGAATGTATATGGATTGAGTATTAAAACTTCTCATTTTAGTAATCACTTTTGACTTAAATTCTTGAGTTCTCACTCAATGTTATTTACACTTTATTCATATTACAAGTAGTCCTTATTTACAGATTGCCTCATTTAACGACCACTCACAGTTGTGATGATGATGATGAAAAAGTAATTTTATGAGCAATCCTCGCATTTACGACCTTTGCAGGTCTGTAAAGCAAAGGAAAGCTGAAGTAAGGTCCTAAATACAGTTGTGGATTTAGTTAGTTATCACTTTGCTGAATAAAGTGTTTCTGGAACCAAATATGGTCCCTAAGACTATCTGTATACTACAATATTGACATACTAATTGTCTTTTATTTCATACCCTTTGATCAGTTCCCTTCTCTAGTTTTTAAGTTTTTCTATTAATATGCTCCCAATAGAACATTCTTCTCAAAATAAAAGGCACCCTTTTCACTGCAGTTTAGCCCAAAGAACTGTATATTAAATGCACCATATAACATCTCAAGAATTATATTTCATCAGCGTAGAAATGAGGAACTTTAATGTAATGATTTGAGAATATAAAACTGAACCAGGGACTTAGGAAATGAAGCTATCATGGTAGTAGCGCAAATCAAGATCTCAAAACTATGAACTGATTGAAAGATAGCAGATGAATAAATGTTGAGTATCCCTACTCTTGACTATTCTTCAGCATTTCAACCATTGTAAACATGTAACATAAATAAGGTTTTAAAAAACATATATATATACCAGTTGCTGAAAACTTTCTTTCCATGGATTTGGATGTTCATATTCTTCTGGATTTATTTGATAAAATTTACCAGGTTCAGGATGCATCATTGGACGTGTATATTCAAATACTTCCATGTATAATCGCTTCCTGAATAAAGACATTATGAATAGAAAATTGCAAATAAATTTTAAGAGAACACAGATATAAATTATACAGATAAAAATTATATGAAATCATAATCATTAAGAGTAATTTTTAATATAAATTTCTTTGAATACAAGGAAACATGAACAAGGAATTAAGGTTATAGATCTATAAAAGCACCTGGCTGAACAGAAATTGTTTATCAACTCTTTTTTTCTCTTTTTCCTTCACAAATTAATCCTCTTATTCTACTAAAGATTCTTGTATAAAAGCAAGATGTGCTGCCTTTTTCCATTTTCTAAATGGAAAATTAAATCAAGCAACTGCTAAGCAGCATTCATAGAACTACATGATGTTTTATGAAAGAATGCACTCTGCAAATACAGATATATATTACTCCTGTTATGAAATAGTCCTTCCTTAAATTAATATCTGAAGAGGTGAAAGAACTTCCACATTTTAGCATTGATTCATGATTTATTCTGTGTTCAAGGTCATTAACTTTTAAAGCTTGTTGTTAATTGCGAAGTCGTGTCCGACCCATCGCGACCCCATGGACAATGTTCCTCCAGGTCTTCCTGTCCTCTACCATCTTCTGGAGTCCATTTAAGTTCACACCTACTGCTTCAGTGACTCCATCCAGCCATCTCATTCTCTGTCATCCCTTTCTTCTATTGCCCTCAATCTTTCCCAGCATTAGGCCCTTCTCCAGTGAGTCCTTCGTTCTCATTAGGTGGCCAAAGTATTTGAGTTTCAACTTCAGGATCTGGCCTTCTAAAGAGCAGTCGGGGTTGATCTCCTCTAGGACTGACCGGTTTGAACGCCTTGCAGTCCAAGGGACTTGCAGGAGTCTTCTCCAGCACCATAGTTCAAAGGCCTCAATTCTTTGGCGCTCAGCCTTTCTTATGGTCTAACTTTCACAGCCATACATTGCAACTGGTAAAACCATGGCCTGGACTATACGCACTTTTGTTGGCAAAAGGCTTTTGCATAATCAATGAAGCAGAAGTAGATGTTTTTCTGGAACTTTTAAAGCTAGAGCTTTTTTATTTTAGGTGCTAGCTAAAATCAAGTTTTTGATGACATATGAACTGCCTTTTTAGATGTATAATGTTATTTACAGACCTCTATTTTTATTATTGTTTTGTTTTAATAGATTTTTGTTTTGTTTTATTTTTTTTCCTGTGACCGATTTTTTTTCTATTTTACAAATCTTTTGTTTGTATTTTTTAAAAACAACATTCAAAAACTATGTTAAATACAGTCCTTACACCTCAGCAGGTGGCAGCATCTGGCTAATCTTATTTAGGCTTGGAAACTAAGTAGGATTGTAAAGCTACAGGGATGTTTTCCTAAAGTCATTAGTAGTAAAATGTAAACTTAAGGAGTTTACTTAACAGTTAGTATTCAATATATATTGATATGGAGATAATCAGAACATTATTAGCATACTTTTACAATGGTGGAAATAAAATTAGAGAAAGCAAAAATCCTATTGACTATGAAGAATTCAGAAATCTTTTCTGGATTTTTCAACAGCATTTCCACAATTCTGAGTGTACAAATAGGTTTCTATTTAAAAAATAGCGAAATTTCTGTGATTAGCCAAATTAGACTGACAGGATGCATTAAAGAAAAGTAGGCATACAGTTTGAAGCATGTGCCAAACTAATTTCTTGCAAGTCAAATATCTGTTTTCATTCAAGGTAATAGGAACAACTAAGTAGGAATTCATTTTTTCTTATGGTTGCTTGATAACATGTAGGATATTTCAGAATAATTAAGAATTATCTTTTCACTTACCACAAAATTGGATCATTAGCTAGCTCACTGAAGCGTTTACATACACATGCTGCTCTACAAAGATCTTGTTCCAGCAAGTATGAAAAGATTTTCAGAACCACTTCATCAGGTAATTTTTCTTGAAGATACTGTTCTGCAGGTGCTGCTATTAAAATACAAAATAACAGGATTGAATTGTCTGGATTATTTTTATCAAGAAAGATCATAGACATCTTGTATCTTTCTTATATTCATGATCTGACTGAAAAAGATGTTATTAGAAGAAGCAGCTTGTAGGTTACTTACCAAAGCATAAAAACTAGGTATGCATAAAACTAGGTATGTTGACAGATTTTGGATAAATTCCAACAAACCACCCTTGCTTAGCAATCAATACGGACAGGCAGTGAACAATATTAAATTTCTGATTTTTTTTATCTTCCTGATACTTGCACAATGTAGACAGAAATCACTCAAAGATTTTGATATCTCTTAATTTCAAGTAAGGAGCCATCAAAGAAGGCAAGCGCATATTCCAAAATCTAGTCTTCGCATTCCTGAATAATTCATAACAGTCAAGATATACATGGCTGGTGGAGATCTTCCAGTCTTTCTGTGTTAGGAGAAATTATTCCTACATTAACTCCCAATTTAGTGAATAACTACAACAGCAGACTTCTATACAAAGGGGACAATATGTAAGCAAAACCTTATCATACAAAAGTTGAACCAAAGTTGGTAGATGGCCAACTTTGCTGATGCAGAACAAAAGAATACTCAAAATAGCTTTGCTTGCAGCATGGTATTGTATGAGGGGAGAGCTTCTAAAGACATAGCACTCAGGACCAGTGTAAGTTCAGCTGTCTGGATGACAGGAAAATACAGGAAGAGGAGGGGATAAAAAGTTCTCCAACACCCAGACGTTCCTAAAAGAATTCCTCATTCCAAATGGAATGTCCTCCACAAAGACATTCTTCTAATGTAATGGGTTTATATATTTTATTCCTTTTGCTCAAGCTGCTTAAATACAATAAAAATAATAAATGAGGGCACATTGGTACAACAGCAATGGGAAAAGGGCACATTAAGCAACAAAGAACATGTAAGAGATTTTTCCATTTCTTCAAATAAATTTCTTTGTAACACCCAGTCAAAAGATTACAAAGAAAGCAACTAAATTCTTCATATTTATTTGATATTAATACTTTTCTTTTAAATGGTTTGCTTAAAGTTTTGAGAACCAAAAAATACCTCTATAGCCAATTTACTGTAGGCAGGGTTTATGGATTTTATTTTTTCCAGTTTTTCTTCGAGGCTATTCTAGTTACTTGCACATATAGCTGGTAATAGGCTGAAAAGGGGGGATGGGTGAGACTCCTGCTGCTACTTAAGCTGCACAGAGGCACTTTGATAGTGAGATGAACAGCACATAAATTTAATAAAATGAATCAACAAATAAACATTAGCATTACTACAAAGATAATGTGCAGATACACATCAACCAAACTAGCACTGTGCTAGACATTTATTCAACAACACTGGCAATACTTCTGTGCAAAGTGAATTAGTGTACATACATCTTTGCATTATCAACCTGCAAAATAAAGCACCAGACAACATTCATGAAAATGGATATCTATATGAGGTCTAAGAAGAACCACAGCAGTAGTATACAAAACAACAGTAGCAACATGCAACTGTTAAAATCTTCTGTCAGCTATATTTTAACTGTTTCCTTTCCAACAATTCATCCCCACATAATGTCATTGGTCTAAGCTGATAATAGCAAGAACATGCTGATGGTTTTTGTTGCAATGTGGCTAAGCTACAATAAATTTGAGGAAACAAGCAGGACCAATCACAAGCCAAGGAATATCAGCTCAACTACACTGCTTACAAAAGCCTCAAAATGACACCTCTTGAAACAACTAAGTTTTGTCTCGTGCTTGAAAGAGAATTTTAGAAAAGACAATTCATGCTCAGAACACTCAAAAATAGGTGTTTTAAGGTTTACAATGCTGTAATCTTTACTATATCTCTATAAGATGAGATTTTTTTACTTCCTTCTAAAACGACTCATAGGATTGTGTTGTTCAGAAGTGCTATCACGTTTCCCCAAAAATAAGACCTACCCCAAAAATAAGACCTAGCTTGATTTTTGAGGTTGGGCCTTATATAAGCCCTACCCCCAAAATAAACTTTACTTGACACCCCGCCCACTTTGCCCCACCGTAAGTTTTTTGGCAGGCCGGATCGTGTGTCCCCCCGCCTTGCCTGCTGCCAGTGCTGCTGCTACAAGGTGGTCTGAATTTTAAGAGAGCCGGGGCCTGAGGCAAGCAGAGCTGCCTCTTTTCTATCCCTACCCTGGATTGGGGAATCCAGCAGGCAGGCAGGGGTGGGAACTGGCCAGGGCCTCAACTATCAGCTTCTTTCACCCACATCACGAAGCAGCTTCCAGAGGTGGCCTGCACTGTCCCACGGGCTTTGCCAGCTTTCTCTTCCTCTGCAGAAGGGCGGGAAAGAAATCTGGGCATCCCAAGATGTCTCATTATGAGAGGCGACTCAGGTTTCCCTCGTTGGGGGAGGAAGGCTTTGGAAACTGCCTTTTCACTTACATTAATAATCAATATTGTAATCCGTCCCTTATCCAAGGCGGCCAGCCAGGCATCAAAGCGCTGCCGAAAAAAGCGGCGTCTATATGCGCATCTGTGTGCGCGTCTGTGTGCCCATTTGCCTTGCTGTTTTCGGGAGCACTTTGGTGCCTGGCTGGCCGCCTTGGATCAGCTGCAGCACACCGTGGAAAGGATGGCTGAGGTTTGGGGAATGGTCTATCCCCATTCGTAGTGTGGCCACTGTTCAATTGCCATTCCGCCTCTCGGGAGGGCAGCATCAGCTGCCAATGCAGTGGCGGGGAAGGCAGAAAGCAATTCTGCCCACCAGATCAGCCTGGCGGGGATGGGGTGGGAAACTGAGTGGTGCCAAAAACAGTGCTCGGAGCCTCCAGGAGCTGCAGGGATCAATGCACACCCTTGGCAGTCATCCTGCTGCAACGCGCAGCCTCTCCCTGTAAGCAATCCGGCTCGCCCAGGGTCAGGTTGGCTGTCGTGGGAGGCTCGTCCCGTATGTGCAGCAGAGGTGGAGGATGGGGATGGGCCACGCCTCCCGTGATGGCCAACCTGACTCTGGGCGAGCCAGATTGCTTCAGCTGCGAGGAGCCTGGCCTAAGGTTTCTATTGCCCAGGTTTCCTGAAGGTGATGAGAACTGCAGCCCACTGCAGCTGAAGAGTTTAGCTGAGCTACAAAGTTGAATGCACCTGTAAAGCAGTGGTGAACCCTGAGCAAGGAAGTGTGAGATTTGAGGGTGCGAGTGTTTGTATTTCTGTGGCTCATGCGCAGAATTCACACCATGCCTTCCCACTGACTATCATGATTCTGACAGATGAAACTCTTCAAAAGAACTTTGAGGCATTGTTTACCTTAAAGAATCTTTTATTTGAGAAACTAAGTATGGGCACTACATAGTCAAAACCAAAAACTAAATTCTCCTCCCCTGGACACAAAGTATCAAAGCACAACTCCTTCCTCTAATCATAAATCACATTCCCCAATTAGTTTGAAGCACGGGCTTTCTCCCAAGCTCTCCAGTCTGCCAAAACTCTATCAACTCTGAGCCCAATGACCTTGGGTTCCCAAGGCTGAGTTATTATTGTTATGACTAGCTGGACTCTCATCCACATTCCCCCTCCCAGCATCAACTAACTCTAAAAGCAATAGAGAAAGATGGCTGCATTTCCATCTGTTATCAAAGCAAGAACATCCGATGTTAGCAGAGTTGACACTGACATTCAAGGAGACTAATCGTGTTAAATACAAATCATTTTTTTGAAAAATAAAGGGACGGATTACAATGTTGATGATGAATGTAAATGAAAAGGCGGTTTCCAAAGCCTTCCTCCCCCACCAAGAGAAACCTGAGTAACATAGGAAGCGCCGGCCGGACTGGGCCTTGTGATGAAAAAAATAAGACATCCCTCGAAAATAAGCCCTAATGGCTCTTTTGGACCAAAAATAAATATGAGATTCAGACTTATTTTCAGGGAAACACGATATTAACTGCATCTATCAGTTAAAAATCTTGTTCTTCTACCTAGCAAATAGGACTACTTTATCTTATCTGATATTTATTAAAATCAGATTACTTAAAACAAAGAGATCTAAAGTCGGCATCCTAATTGTTTTCCATTTAAAAAATTCAAAGGATGTAAGACTAAATTTTTTTACACCGCACTCTATACCATAAAACAGTTATTACCTGATAAATCCTGTAATTTTCCAGATACTCTAGCACGTTTTGCTCGATGGCCGAAGTTTTCTGTAGCTGAAGTAGAAGCACCCTGACAAGAAAAAAAACATTTTAAGCAGCTCTTCTAGCTACTACCCCTCAAAAGTTAGACCCAGCCTGATAGTAAGCCCTAGCTTGATTTTTGGGGGTAGGCCTAATATAAGCCCTACTCCAAAACTAAGCCCTAGTTTTGCGGCAAGGCACACTCCTAAAAATCAAGCTAGTGTGGGGGTAGGGGGATGAAACTGTCCCACGCGCCCTGCACCCACTTACCTTACCGGTAGGACCAACACAGCTAGGCCTCCCACACCTCGACACCTGTTGCAACGCTAATTGACTTCTGAGACTTGTCGCCACTTGTGGCCAGAAGCCATGTGGCGCATTGCATTGTTGTTGCTTCTCCCAGCAGGGTGCCTAATAGTGCTTTGGGCAGCTTCTGCTGCTCACGTGCTTTGGGCTGCTTCTGTTGCTCGCTGCAGAAATGGCCCAAAGAGCCACACAGTGTCCTGCCACGAGCAGCAGAAATGGCGCAAAGCACCATGCGGTGTTCTGCCGGGAGGAGAAGCAATGGCACAATGCAAAGAAATCAGGCAGCGGTGCGACAGGTGTCAGGGTGTGAGAGGCCTGGCTATGTTGGTCCTAAGGTAAGACATTCTCTGAAATTAAGACCTAGTGTCTCTTTTGGAGGCAAAATAAATATAAGAGCGGGTCTTAATTTCGGGGAAACACAGTAGATACAGTCAAGCATCCCAACCAGTCTTCATCGATTTTTTATTGATATTGGTATTCTTACATATGCTCCCTTGACAACTCTCTGGACTAGATTATGCCCACAGTATTATTTATCTACTCTAAAAAGCTACATGTTTTTTTAATACCTCCATATTGCTCTTTGCAGGACAAGCTGTTCTTTTAGGTAAAAGAGTTTTTCTGCGAAGTTGGTATGGACTATTTTGTGCACCAGGACCCGATTCTTCTGCAACCATATCTGCAGGTACATCATCATCTACCAAGAAACAAAGAACACATCATAGTTTTTCATACAAAATAACTTATTTTATCACAATAGGAAAAACTTTGTAATTAAATTATAGGAAGTCAAAGCTGGTGTATTAATGCAATTATCAGTCACATGTCCATCACGGTTAAATATTATGCTGCATATCTATATATTTATTTAATATTAGTAAACACAATTGCATTGTATTCATATATTTTAAACTTTTAAAATCCTTATTGTTAACAGCCTTGACTTCTTCTAGAAAAACCAGAAATTTTGAAACAATACAAGGGAATGTGTCTGAGTTGTTAAATCAGTGGTGATCTAACATTTCAATAACTGAGCAGTTATTTCAAATCCTGCAGCAGTTTAGAATAGAATATACAGTGATATATCTCAAGTTTACTGATCTAGTGTGTACACACAAGGGCAATACAAAAGTTAGGAGCACAAGACTTACCTATAGTTAATTCACAAATATATATTAAAACTAAAAGCATTGTAGTCTTCTAATCTTTTCTGCAATGTGCAGTGAAACAGATGGCACTTTCAAATTTACAGGATCCAATCTGGGTTAGTCACCGGGACAAGACGTTTAATTCGAGAGAAGTTCCCTGAGGATGGGCACCAGAACGAGTCTGAAAGCTCGGAAGACTAAACCTCTGGTCCTAGTGGCCAACGAAGACTAGATCTTGTGATATTATCCTGGAACACATATATTTGCCTTTATTTGTGCTTCTCAAATTTTTGCAATTATTTAAAACATTAATTTTAATTCAAAAAAGTGCTGAATGTATATTGTACACTTAAGGTTTCAAAGAAGCTGATTACTTTCCATTTGCAATGCTATATGTTGGTTTAAGATGCAACTTATTATTATTTGGTAGACCAGTTTGTATTTCTAAACATAATATCTCCTTTGAATTATGCATCTTTCACTATTAACTACTACAATAATGCTAATATAAAACAAAATAAATTCTATATTTTGAAGTCCAGGACGTTACTGATGGGATACACAAAATGAGAAGTTTATAGTCTTGGTCTGTCTGCTATTCAGAATAAAAAACAGAAAGAAAAGTCTTCTGACTTGTTAATATAAATCATTGCATCTATTTTCCTAAAGGTAAGAACTCCATTATCATAATGTTACAGCTAGAAAGAAAGCTAAATATTACCAAGCATTTAACTGGTACAGGCATAAAATGCCCTGGTAAAAATACAGGTAGTCCTTGATGTCCAATCATAATTGAGTCCAAATTTTTCATTGTAATGCAAAGCAGTTGTTAAGTGAGTCTTGTCCCATTTTACAACATTTTTGCCATACTTGTTAAATGAATCATTGCATCTGTTAAGTGAATCAAGTAGTCTTTAAGTAAGTGGTTCTCAACCTGTGGGTCGGGACCCCATTTGGGGTCAAACGACCATTTCACGGGGGTCGCCAAACAACACAGTCCGCCTTTTTTCCCCCCTTTTCCTTAGCTGTGCTACTCCCTTTTATTCTATTGGCTTTTGAAAGTCAATAGGAATTGTCCAGGCTGTCTCTGCCCTGCTGAGCCCGCCAAAAGTCCCATTCTTCAAACGGTGCTGCACCAGTTGAGTAGTCCTCGACTTACGACCGGTTGGGGGTCGCGGCATTAAAAAGGTTGAGAACCATTGCTTTAAGTGAATGTGGTTTCCCCCATTGACTTTGCTTGTTAGAAGCCAGCTGGGAACATTATAAATGTCTCCAGGATTTTGCCAGGTGGCAAATGCCCAAATTTTGAACATTTGACTATGGGGATGCTGCAATGATCCACAGTGTGAAAACCGGCCATAAATCACTTTTTTCAGTGCCACTGCAACTTTGAACTGTGATTAAATAAATTGTTGTAAGTTGAGGACTACCTGAACAATATAATCCACAGTGTAGGTAGTCCCCAACCTATGACTGTAATAGAGCCTGCTGGTTGTAAAATGGATCAGCAACATGAATGACCTGTTTATATAATTTTTTTCCCGGCAATCATTAGTGACTACCAGTTATAAAGTGCTCATCACAGTCATTAAGCAAACACTGCAGTCATTAAGCAAAAATGTTGGAAATACAAATGCAGACTGATTGCCGAGTGCCCAGCATGCAGTCATGCAATTGGGGGGGGGGGGTGCCGTTGTAATGTTGCAGCCAGTTTGTAAGATCTGTCCTGTAATCTATAAACCAGGTAGATCTGTCCTAACTTCCAAACTATCTGTAATATAAACAAAATGTCTACAATAAAAATTATTAAACTAAAACTAAAATAATAACATACATAAATAACATATAAATGAACAAATAATATCAGAATATGTATCATGTATTTGTAATTAACAGCAACATAGATAGCATCTCCACCTCCATACTCTGTCTATATATACCCCTCATGTGTATCAGCTGGCTATCCTCCAAACTCAGGATGATGCTGGTCACTGCTTTCTCATTCTTTCTCCGGTCCCCATCATCCAGGGCTACAGGTGGATCAGCAATTATCACCCACAGCTCCTCCCTTCGCAGTTACATCTCCATTTTCAGACACCAGGAGAGGTAGTTTGTCTCATTCAGCCGAGATATTACAAAACCTCCTTCCATTACGCTGACAGAGTCCGTATTGCCTGTTACTACCACAAATCACAAGCCTTAACTTTTCTGGCTCTGGGTCAAGCTCTCACAGGGTTTCTCCTCTCTCTGGGCCCATAACCTGTCAGAGCGTGCACAGTCTTATTGTGCGAGATAACCCAGGAGTAAATACAGTAAACAGTGGTCTATAATAAATGGTGGTTTATCTTACACTATCTACAATATCATACACCAGGACCAATATACATACAGGTGCTAATATAGCAGGATCCAACAAAACACAGTTACAGCAGGAAACGGAAAAGAGAACACATCAGCAGAGCCTTCCCTTTATATAAAGGCTCTTAAAGAGACACAGACCCTGTTGAGTCATTTCCACCATTACAACTTTTATCTTACATTACATAAGCTGGTTAGCTGTTAAATCAATACCTTGACAGAAAATACTCAGTTTTCATTAACTTCTAGAAAGACAACAACATGGGGGCATGTCTAATCTCTGACTGCTTCATAGATCAGGTGCACCAACTTGTTAAGAGAAAATATCAGTGCTAACAAAGAACCTTGCTACATAAACAGCAACTCTTATCTTGCTTGGGTTCAACTACAGCCTGTTTCATCCCATCTCTGACTGTTTCCAGAAATAGATAAGACATCTCTTGTATAGCTTCAGGTGATAATGTACACTGATGGTATCATACCCTACTCATAGATAGCCTTCTCCAGTAACTTTATGTAAATATTAAAAATATTATGCACATATTACGTCTCAAGTCCTTTTGCATTCCTGAAACATCTCCTTCCCATTTGCTTTTCCTCCCCCAAGTTCTAGCGAATGACTTTCTGAAAATATAGTAAAACATCTGGAACAAAGGATTCAAAGTGAAAGGAGCAAATGGAGACAATGTTACTAACATAGAAGAAAGGCTTTTTCAAAGACATGAGAAAATAATTCTCTAAAACTAGGACACAGAACATTTTATAGAGTATAAAATGGAATGGAATTACAAAATTGAATTGAATAGATTACATCTACCTTCATCCAACAAAATATAGCATGCTAAACTGATAAATGACTGTTTATTACATCATTAACAAAACATAAATGAATTTCAGTTTCTAAACTCATATTTAGGTTTCAATGGAAATAAATACCAGAATTAATTTTATCAAAAACAAAAAAGTACTATTTGATGGACTGAAATTTATAATCTTCAACTTTCACTTTGCGCTCCTTAAGATTCTGAAAAATGGAATGTTTATGTGAACTGAAAAAAGGCATTCAGTGCTCACTTCATACACAAGGAATTCAGGAAAAATGAGAAATGAATATGATTATAGGTAGTCCTTGGATTGCAACCTTTTGCCCAATGACTGTTCAAAAATATAACTGTACTGAACAAGGGGGATTTATGACCCGTCCTCAAAAGTTGCAGCCATGTCAGCATCTCCGTGGTCACATGACTGTGATTCAGGTGCTTGGCAACTCACCCTCACAACTGTTGCAGAGTCCCAGTTACATGATGACTATTTGCATCCTTCCCTGCCGGCTTTCCACAAGTAAAGTCAATGGGGAAGCTGGCAGGAAGTCACAAGCCATTCCTGCAAGTAGCTCTTACTGCTTTTTTTTCCTTAAGAGCTGCAAGGCAGCATGGAGATCTCATATTCCATAGCACTCTTCAACCTGCACTTCATAGCATTCCCTATAGCACTTGCTCACACTCTATAGCACCAATGACAGCCATTCACCCACACATATTCCATAGCATCCATAGCATCTCCTTGCCCAGCTGACCCCCTAACACTTACCCACAGCAATCATCCACCGGCCTATTTACCCTGGGATACGGTTTTTTACCTCTTCCAATGTCACAGTCGTGTGAAAGCCTTATTTAACAACCTGTTAATCCTTTGTTAACTACAGAAACGGGAATGACCAGGACTGCCATCAATAAGTAATGTGGTCATGTAACATTACACTTTACAACTGCATTACTTAGCAATGGAAATTCCAGGATAAATTCTTGGCGTAACCCGAGGACTATCTATAACACATTTCTATCTTATACTCTGATATCACACTTATGAAAATGATCTGAATTATGCAACATTTGAAAGTAGCCAAAGGGCAATAGCATTCCAAATTGTGCGCTGAGTGAGCAAATAAATTGATGACACAAATAAAATGCTATCGTCACAAACATTAATACTTTAAGATCGTGTGTGTGTGTGTGTGTGTGTGTGAGTGAGAGAGAGAGAGAGAGAGAGAGAGAGAGAGAGAGAGAGAGAGAGAGAGAGAGAGAGAGAGAAGTGGCTATAACAATGCTACTATAAAGCACTGCTATGAAATATCTAATTATAATTCAGAAGAAATTCCTTCCTCTTTTCTTCCGTAATTTTCCATCTTTCC